TTCAGCCAGAGTCACGATCTTCTGATCCATGAGTTCGAGCCAGCGTGCGGGCTCTGGGCTGATGGCTCAGAGCCTGGAGCACTGTTTCGGTCTGTGTCTCCCTCCTCTCTGCCCCTCCCCGTTCATGCTCTGTCTCTCTCTGTCCCAAAAATAAATAAATGTTGAAAAAAAAAAATTAAAAAAAAAAAAATAAAAAAAAAAAGAAATAGCCAACCCACGGCCACTGGGGTCTGACCCCAGCCACTGCCCCAGCCTTGGCTCCCCGACTCAAGCAGGCCTGTGCATAAACCCACAACAGCTTTGCTACAGGCAATCTTGCTTTCGCTGGCCATGGAGCCTGGGAGAACCCCCACTCCTGCAAGGGGACCCCTGGGCAGCAGCCCGGTGTCTCGGGGCTCTACCTTTCTGTCCGGAGGGTCTGAAAGAAGTCGATGAACACAGGGACTCACTCCCTTGGGGAACTTCGTCACGAGCACGTCCTCGAACAGCAGAGCACCCTGGCTCCATTAGTTGAGCGTGTCCGAGCGTCCGCAGCTTAGAGGCTGTGGGGACAGGCCACCCTTGTCATCCATCCCCCACTCCCGCCACCGACAGCTCCCTCGACCGTCACCCTTTCCAAACCGCGGAGCCGCAGCCCCGACCGCTGATCTTTCAGACAGAATCTACTGGTAGTTTTCTGCGTTCTTTAAACCCGCCAAGAGTTACAGAGCGCGAGGGCTGCACGTGAAGTCAGAAATCACGGGGCGCTGGGGACCGTCTGGCTGGGGTCTCGGGTGCCACGTGGTGCAGAAGTGGGGGGACCTGAGCAGAGTCACCTCCTGCCCCCCCCCCCTTGGTATCACCCCTGCGGCTACAGCCAAGGTTACAGTAGTGCCGGAGACAAGAAGCCCAGACTGTCCCGTCTGAGAGCGAGGACCCCCAGGCCTCACCGGACTCCTGTTTTGCTCTCAGACAGTCAGACGAGGCTGTTGAGGCGCCTCTCTGGTAGTGCTGGTCTCCTCTGCAGTGAGAGCCTGAAACCCGCCATGACGTGTCACCCCTGCGGCTACTGTGCCTTGCGGGTTACACGGACAGATTGCCGCGGAGACAAGAGAAACCGGAACTGTCTCCCCGTCTGGCAGAGACAGGACCCCAGGGCTACGGACTCCTGTTTGCTCTCAGACAGTCAAGACCGAGGCTGTTGGGGCGCCTCTCTGTTGGTGCTGGTCTCCTCTGCAGTGAGGGGCCTGGTGACCAACAGGCCACAGCTACCCCGGGTGCCCCGGGGCGACCCCCAAAGTCAGCCCACTGAGCCGTCTGTCTGGTTCAACACCCCCCGGTATGAAGGGGGGATCGCCAGCCACCCACACAAGCAAGGGCTGGGCTCCCGCCCCGAGTCCACTCCTGCCCCTCCTCCAGGGCAGACACAAGAACGCCCAGCACACTCACCCTTCTTCCGTGCCCCCAGTGGTGCCGGGGTCCCGAGCCCGCCTCCACCCCGGCACAGGGCAGGCCGAGTCGGGGGCTCGGGAAGGGTCAGACCCCACGAACATCTGGTGAGGGTGCGAGGGCCCCTCCCCAGTCAGCCCCAGGGTTCACGGCAGGGACGCCACTTCTGGGTTAAGGCTCAGTCAGGCCCTTCTGGTGACGGATATACATAAAGCAATCCCCAGGGCTGCCCCGGTGCCCCCCACCTGGGTGTTAATAAACATTTGCAAGAGGAGACGAGGGCCCCCCGCCTGTAGGGAGATGGCCCCCGCCCAGGGGCTTGCCAGCTCTGTCTAGGTGGGTGTGCAGGGGGCCTTGCTCCCCATGAAGGAAGCATTTAAACCCTCGGACCTCAGAATGGCCCGTCCTGGGCGCTAGGGTGACTCAGTTCGTGAGGTATTTGCTCTGTTGACCTTCAGCCCCCGACTCGGGAAGGGCAGACAGATGCTCCCCCATCACCAGCCTGGCCAGCCTGCCCGCCCCCCGTCCTTCCCTGGGTCCGTGCCCCCCGGCGTGAGCCCGGAGGGCTGGGCCTGCAGGCAGACCCCACACCCGCTTCCCTAGACAGCCTCAGAGCCCAGTTCTGGAAGGACCCCCATGGTCCAGCCTGCAGCGTTTCACCTCAGCTGCCCCCCATTCTCTGGGCGCGACAGCGACGTGTGCGTCTCCCCGGTTCACACACCAGGACGAGGGGGGGTCCTGTCTCTCTGCGGACGAGGAAACACAGCTGGTTGACCCTTCCCTAAAGACGGCCCAGCAGGGGCCACGCCCGGAGCACAGCGCGCACCGGGGCGGCCGGCGCCCTTACTCATGTTGGCGGTGACGACGACGAAGGGCCTCAGGTAGGTCCTGCGCACGTTTCGCGCCACGTTCCCGAAGTAGGCCTCGAAGCGCTTCAGCAGCTGCACGGCGCCCGCCTCGCCCCGCTGGATCTGCTCCCACGCGGCCTGGGTGTCCGGGGCCAGGAGGGCACTGCCCGTGCGGACCACGTCCTGCTCAGACAGACACACAGAGGGCGCTCAGGCGGTGAGCGGGGCCGAACTGGCGCGGCCAGGAGCATGCCGGCTCGGGAAGGCCTCTAGCTCGCCCAGACCAGGCCGGCCCAGGCTCAGGGATGGGGAGACATCCTCCCTGTTTTCCGTGTCAGAGGCAGGAGCCACGTGTCGCGGAGAAGCCTGCTGAGGGCGTCCCCACGTCCCTCCCACAACGCCAAGGGGACAAGGCACGTGGAGGGCCCTCGGTTGCATCAGAACTCCACCCCCCTGCCGCCCCCTCTGCTGACCATGTAGCGATGTGGCCCAAGGACACAGAGCGCGTTACCCTGTGGTGACACTCCTGACCCCCCACCCCGACGTCTCAGGGTTTAGGTGACCCGGGCTGTCCACAGGGGCTCCGGGGTGAAAACCAGGAGGGGAACTTCTTTTTGCAAAGACTCAGAAATAAGAACGAATTCCATCGGCCCAAACTGGGGCTCGGACTGAAATGCAATCAAGGGGGCCCTGCCTTGCTACGCATGGAGAGGTTCCCTGGGGGCTCCGTGAGGATGAGAGGATCCCCGGGGGCTCTGTAGGATGGGGAGGTCCGGAGAGGAGTCCGGAGGAAGCAGGGGTGACACTGCTCACCGCCCGGCACTTTACAAACGTCGGGACGAATGAGTGTCTCCTCACCCACCGCTCTAAGCAAACGTTACTTAGGGGCCAGTTACTCAAACAGAAAACAGGACGTGCTTCGTAGGAGACATCGTGTCCTTGGAAAGCAGGCCCTCGAGGTGGGAGCACAGACTCTGGAGCCCCCTTACAGGCTACGTGCCCTTGGCGCTCTCTGCCTCAGTTTCCTTACTTGTAAAACGCGGCAGTAACCGTGCTACATTACGGGATGTGGGCGTGAGGGGCCGAGTCACTAAACCACACGGAACGCGGGTACTGAGTGGTCAGTGGTCGGCGGCCGTGACTGTCCCCACGACCGAGACCGTGACCCGCCCGTGCCCTCACCAAAATGCCCCTAACACCTGCCATCGGTCTCACGGGTCCCTGTGCCGGCTCCGGCGCGGAAAGTGAAGTTTTGCCCTAGGGATGCTGGGTGCGGCGACCCTGAACAGCTGAGGGCAGACCCGGGCCGCCGCCCAACCCCGCAGGACGCCTGGGCC